ATGGGGAAGTGATGTTGATGTCCTTGCAGGGCGTGACTGATCCTTGTCTGCCATGTATCTGGATATCCGCGTTGTGTAGATATGTGTGCTAGATTGTCGTATAGCTGTGTTGTAATGATATACGTGTATGTGTGTGTGTGAGTGAGTGTGTGTGTTATTTAAACTTGATTATAAAATTCGCTGGACCGTGTTTCTTGAAAGGCTTATTGTAGTTATGATATCATCTATTCGGCTTCTTTAAATCCTGATTGCAGTAATGATATCCAATCAGCGTTGGTTAAGTAAATACCTTTTATAGAAATGATATCCACTGGTTGCTGTATACTGAAATCTTGATTGTAATAACGATATCCGCCTTTCGGTTTCTTGAAATGTTGATTGTCTTGATGATATCCACTATGCTGTTTCCTGAAAGCTGGAATGTGATGATATCCAAATAGAAATACTGATTCTAGCTAAGTTCTGACATTTTAAAATAAATTATATATTAATTACACACCTTACTTTGTTTAGGCTGACTAAAACCACTGTTTTAAAAATTACGATCACTTAAACACACGCCTCACAGTGGATGAACAAGATTGCTTTGTTGAGTGAACAAGACTTCCTGTTCTATTACCAAAACCAATAATGACGGGGGGAAAAACGAAAATATATCAGGAACTTAATATCAGTAATCTTACCGTGTGACTAAAGCAACCAGTTTAAGATTTAACGCACACTTTTAACGCATGTCTTACTGTAAAAACTCAGGTCGGTTTGTTGATCCAATCATTCCAGCGTTTAAACTGACCGCGCCGACTTCCTATTTTCGATTTGCCAGACTCTGGAACCGTGTACCGGGAAGACAAACTAGCCGTGCCAGACTTGGAGTCATGTTCCCCCCGACACATCTGCTACTGTTTATTGGCAGTCGTTGACGCGACAGCATTTAGGCGCTGCGCGCGCACGATCTGTGTGAGAAGAAATCCGCAGTCGTTAATCAACATTTATGTACTAACCCGCTCGCCAGGTTTATCCCCTCGATTATTGACACCTCGATGTGTGCTCGTTCACTTTACGGTGCCAGGGGCATTACATGTTTAGAATATACAACATTAACAATGCCAAAGGCAAGTGGGGCTTTCGTAGAGCTGGCGAATTTCTTGACGTCGGCTGATTTAGAATTTCAGATTTAGAATCGGGCATCTACCAGAAAGGCTAACCCCGTCAACAAAGGCCCGCAGAAATCGGATGTGTTGGTCGAAAAGTGCAAATATCGCAGCCATGCTGTAAACGGACACAACGCAGTTACATCTTCTGATGAACGCAGGAGAAGAAGAATCGGACATCTGTCTTCAATAGGGCATCTTTTTGGCATTTTGGCAGTTCCAGCATAGGTGACTTTAGCCGAGATGTACTGACAGGTTAGTTCTTGCTTTGAGAGGCACCTCTATGCCGCCTTAGAGGAAACATTGCAACCAGCTTCTTATGGGAAACAGTCTGTAGATGTACAATGAAATGGCTGCTGCATGGGAGGGTTGAGCGTCGGAATGTCCAATTTTGATAATAGACGTCGAAAATTTCTTCTGCTGTTGCTTCTTGTTCTTGTTCTTTTTCTTTGTCATCATCGTCTTCCTGATCGTTATTAGTTTCTTCTTCAGTATCTTCTTCGTCGTCATTATCTTCATCATCATCATCAGTTTCTTCTTCGTCATCTTCATCATCACCTTCTTTGTTTTCACCTCCGTCATCTTTTCAGCTCATAATTGGAGTTAACATTGTGAAGCAGGATTTTGACTGTGGCGGTGACCAACGCAAGTAACATGGCTGGAGACGCAAACCTTTACCCGCGCATGTTTTTCTCTGTGACTCCATGAGTATAGTATAAGTGGGCTGGGACGGAATGGGTGACTAGACTGCGAGTCCATGTGTGGCTTAAAACTTCATGCCCGGATAATCATAATAATGATGATAGTCAAATCGGTATGTCTGTTGTGGGTCAGAGACGCAGAGAATGACAGAAACTCCTGTTCACTGTCTAGTTTTTGTTGATCGGCGCATCTATCTTCTTTTGATGTTGTTCATCAGCGCATCTATCTTCTTTTGATGTTGTCCATAGGCTTATCCATCTTCTGTTAATGTTGTTCATGGCGTATCTATCTTCTTGTGATGTTGTTCATCGGCGTATCTATCTTCTTCTGATATTGTTGATCGACGTATCTATCTTCTTCTGATATTGTTCATCGAATATCTATCTTCTTCTGATGTTGTTCATCGACGTATCTATCTTCTTCTGATGTTGTTGATCGACGTATCTATCTTCTTCTGGTGTTGTTCATCGGCTTATCCATCTTCTTTTGTTGTTTATCGGCGTATCCATCTTCTTTTGATGTTGTTCATCAGCGTATCTATAATCCTTTTAATATTGTTCATCGACGTATCTATCTTCTTTTGATATTTTTTTTAATAACATGCCCCGAAAGATATGACTCTCAGCATTTAATTTTTGTAATTAATCATGTTACCGTTTTTATGAAGATATACCTCTGTTCCCTCAATATTTGAATTAATTTGTGAGCCGCCCAGTAATAAAATGCTACGGTGTCAAACTGTGGGTTTTCTTTGGAGTGGTTTTGTGTATTTATGTGGGATTGTTCTATTTATGTATGTGCTTATGAAGGCTCCATAGCCGCAACGTTCACGTTTTTTTTGTGTTTGTTATATTGTGAAGCTTGCTGATATACTTTTCGTTCGGTTCTTCACAGATCAAAACTGCATCTTTTTGTCCACATCCGCTTATTTATAATGTTAATGATTAATATACATCTAGAAGCCACAACCATGTATTATTAAGATTAAATGGAACCCGGTAACATTGTTATGGCAGGGCAAGCTAGGCATTTGGCATTTCTGGTAACTGATCTAGGTATTAACGCCAGAGTACTGCTGTTCTGATCAGGCAGCTTCTGCGGCATGCTTTGTTTCATATGTGAAGGTGTTATCTGTTCTTTGGAGTAAACAAAGTAGGTAGAGCTAGAGATCATACTACACAAGTAGCGCACGGTCTCTACAGTACAGTCCCGGCTTTGTGTTCACGGGAATTGATTCCCATGTCTCCTCATAGATAGTTTGATAGAATTTAGGTTCAAGTAACGAAGTCGGACCTAGAAATAGAGTGACTTTCCTTGACATTCATGCCTGGTTGTGTCACAGGGCCTGTCCTGTGTTGCGGGGGTGTCACGCTTAGTGAGCGTCCAGGGACACAACGTATTTTACGCGTTGTTGTCATAGGCTGCATGCAGTCGTGGGACGTAGGGTGAGGCTATGACGTAGGGGGATTTGGGTTAGGGCCAGTTCTACATGTTTTAGGACCGTTAAAAGCGCTCACATTGTGGAATATAGAACACACGATAACGCCGGTCACGGGACAGATTTGGCGAAGGCCCGCCATTTGAAGAGCCCAGCTGTAAATAGCCACACAGTTTGATATTAGAACGTAAAAAAAAAAAAAAAAAGCTGCAACAAACTGTTGACATTCCACAGTGGACCCCTGAGTGGCCAAATTTGTCACCTTTGTTACATAGACTCCCAAGGGAAGACATTTCATCGCTTGTGTTCCCCGTCCGTTTGCTGCTGTAGACTTGGCAGACAGCCCTATTGTGTTAATGATTGTGGCGATGTTTCTTGTCGTCCGTGGTAATGGATTGCTTTGCCTTGTTGTCCAGTTCAGTGTGTGAATGGGTCTCATTGTTGTAAAGGAGTCCTGGTTCTGTCAGTGGTGTTTGGTTGTATGAATATTGGGGGGGGGGGGGGTGTGTGCGTGCGCGCGCGCATTTTTATAAGGCCACTGTTCTGTTTTTCCTTCATACTTACTTGCTAAGTCTGGAGTTTAGACCTTGCAAACGCACTTCATAATTTCCAGATACCTGGTTCAATTCCAGCTGCGTATCATTAACCACCAGACTGCCTTGCGTTGCTTTTGATATAGGTATCGAGAACCGCCCTTCAGAAGCATTGGCGAATTTCTTCTTCTGCCTTTCTAACCCCCAGTGGAGCATAGGCCCTCAATCAACTCACGCCAAGTCGTTCTATCCTTCTCTGTAGCGTGCAGCTCTCCTCATATGCTCTCCATCACTTTAACTTCGTTCTCTAGCTCCCTTCTGTGTGTGGGTTTTTGGTCTTCCTTTATTTCTGTGCCCCTGTGGGTTTCAGTGCAAAGACAAAGGAACAATCAATTGTCTAGAACCATAAACAGTCAAGAATCGCTGGGGTTAATTCTGCAACTTTGTATAAGGGATACGCAACAGTATATTGTATTTCTCTTACTAATGTAAGTTAGTTGCCTATCCTTTACAGGACGTTGCAGAACCAATCCTACTTTTTCTTGTCTGTTTAGGATTTCACTAAGCAATTTCACCTTCAATAGTTTGCCTTTGCGTCCAGAACGGACGGCTCTCAATAACACTGTCGAAACCTATGCAAGGCGGCTTGCTGTCTAGTCGCTGGCGGCAGGGATCAAACACCAACAAAGACAACTGAACATTAAATGGGCCCCGTTGTTTGATTTTTTATTTTCATTTTGGTTTTTTTTAATAAGTATTCAACCCGCTTTAAAGGTAGGTGCGCGCGCGCACACACACACACACACACACACACACAGACAGACACCCCTCTATCTCTCTCTCCACCTGTCCTTACACAATTGAACACGCTTACTAATCATAAGAGAACCCTTATATGTTGAGGTCTGACTGTATTCCCTCTCCCTCTTCCCTTCCTCATTCTCTCTCTCTCCATCTCTCTCTCTCTCTCTCTCTCTCTCTCTCTCTCTCTCTCTCTCTCTCTCTCTCTCTCCACCTATCCATACACAATTGATCACACAGACTAATCATAGGAGACCGTGTCTGTGATGAAGGCTGACCGTTCTCCCCCTGTGTGCTCTACCTACAGAGACCTACTCGGAAGCCGTCAAGATCCTCAAGGGCGAGTACGTGATCGCCGCCATCGAGGAGCACAAGATGGACGTGGCGCTGATCTTCTGCCGGACCAAGGTGGACTGTGACAACCTGGAGAAGTACCTCATCCAGCGCGGCGGAAGTCAGTGCTCTTGTTGTTGTTGCTATTGTTGTTGTTGTTATTGTTGATGTTGTTATTGTTGTTGGTGAATTAAGTTGTCACTGATGATGAATTAGATTGTTGATCACGATGATGATTAATTAGGCTGTTGTTGTTAATGGCATAGGTTGTTGTTATTATTAGTATTGTTGTTGATGAAATGGGTTGTTGTTGATGCTGAATCAGATTGCTGTTGATATTGGTGAGACAGGTTGTTTTTGATGCTGATGAATTATGTAGCTATTGTTGTCGTTTTTGTTGTTGTTGATGAATTATGTTGTTAATTTGAAACATAACCAACTAGGAGATGCACAAACTGTTTGGAGGAACAGGTTGGATTCCTGGTACGAGGACTTTAACCTTCGATTTGTATGTTGTCTAGTGTGTCTTTCCATCTTTCTTCTTCTTTCTATAAGTGCCGATCAGTAAATTGTCTTTTTGTTCATTATATATATATATATATATATATATATATATATATATATATATATATATATATATATATATATATATATATATATATATATATATATATATATATATAATTTTTCTTCCTTTTTCAATATCTGCTTTTGCCGCTAGGCGTCTGCGTTCACCAGACGGTCGGCAGCCGAGCCAGGGCGCGCTCAGTCGCTTGATATGCCGTGATGTTATGCAGTCTTAAGGTGTCAGTGACTCCTTTAATCCATATTCTTCTCGGTCTTCTCCTGCCTCTTGATGTTTCGATTTTCAGCTTGTATGCTCTTGCTGCTGGCATCGTTGGTTTCATTCTCATTAGATGGCCAAACCATTTCATTCTTTGTTTCTCAATAAATTTGACGATAGGTGTTGTTCCAACAGTTCTTGTGATCACATCGTTTCTCACTCGATCTCTTCTGGTTTTATTCTCAAACATCTCATCTCACAGGTGGTTAGTTCTCTTTCGTGTTCTTTTGTCATTTCCAAATCTGACATTGGTAACCTAAAGTCGGTATGGTATAAATAATTTATTTACAGTTGGTATTTTTGTCTCTATTGGGATAGCAGGGGGTTTTAAAATTGGAGCAAGTTGGTGCGTGACATCGTTATCTTGTTGGATTCTCGTTTCTATCTTTCTGTTTATTTTACCATTGTATGTAAAGATGCTTCCCAAGTATTTAAATTCTTGTGCTTGTTTCAGGCTTTGATCTTCGAGCTTTATGTCGATGGTTTGTTGTTCTCTACTTATTTTCATGATTTATTAAATTTTTTTTAAAGTATTGATCGTCATGTGATGTTTGAGGCAAGAGTCGTTTATGTGGTCCTGCAGCTGTTTACTTTCACTGTGGAACATGAACTGATCGTTGGCAAAGAGAAGCCCATTGAAGTCCTCCTGTTTATCGACATTTAGTGATGTTATTTCTATTTTATTAATATTTTCCTACAATATTATAAAAAGTAAAGGGGAAAGAACAAACCCTTACCTTACACCCCATATTACTGGGAACCAGTCTGTGAGGCCAGCTTTTGTTCTGATGACGCTTTCACTTTCTCTATAAATGGCTCTTACCAAATCTAGCGTTGTTACATTTATACCATAGTTTTCAAGGGCATCCCATAGTAAATCTCTGTTCACTCTGTCAAAAGCCTTGTCTGGATCTATAAAAGCGACGTTCATTTGGTGTCTGCTCTATTTTCTTTTCTCTAATTTGCCTTAGAGCCAAAATAGCGTCAGTACACCCTCTTCCTTTCCTGAACCCGACCTGTGCTGGGCTCAGAATCGGTTCTACCCCAGATCTATCTAATACGTTGTTCCAGAATCTTGGCAAACATTTTACCTACGTGGCTTAAAAGGGATATGCCTGTATAAGTGTTACAGCCTTGCTTCATATTGGTACTGTAGTAGATCTTTGCCAGTCTACTGGTACAGTTCTTTCATTCTAGGCTTTCCTAAATTTATGCAGTAGCCAGATGACTCCAGCTTCTCCATAGGGCTGTATTGTCTCAGTTGTAATTTCATCAACACCAGCGGCCTTATGTTTTGGGCTGCACCTGATTGCTTCTCTGACTTCTTGTTCAGTTATTCCAGGCTGTTCCTCGTGTGTATATCTGGGTCTGAGTGGTACTGTTCCTTCATTTTCTGTTGCGTTCAGAAGAGTTTTGAAATATTATTTCCATCTCTGTCTGATCTTACCCTCTTCATATATGGGTCTTCCTTGACTTTCATTGATATATTCTGATGGTTGGAGTGAGTGGGCCTAAATGATTGGCACCTTTCCGTCTTCCCAGACGATAGTGTTATATTGCGCTATAAGAAGGCTTGAGACTCACAGCCCATGGCGATATCAAGTGTGACTAGCAAGATCCGCCCGTGTCAAAAAAGTATCTCACAATGATAGCATGGGATTTCTTGACCAATGTTGTCAACATTTGTATTAAATTCGTTTTTTTTTTCAGACGCTTAGCTCTCATCCTTTCTGCAATCATTTCTTCCTTGACTCTCATCCCCTTCCCACACAACACGGTCTATAGCATTTTTTTTCCTTTCATGAATCCACCTCAATACCTGTATCATCCCTGTCCCGCTTGCACACATCTTTATACCGTAGTAGAGGTCGGCCTCGACATCTGCTTCCTGTTTTTAATTCACCATGAAGGATGTCCTTGGGGTATCTTGCCATCCTCCATTCTCCATGTGTCACCCAGCCACCTAAGCCTTCGTAGACTGAGCATGGAAAAGACTGTTGTAGTACCTGCTCTTTCCAGTACCTCAGTGTTTGTGATTCTGTCCTGCCACTTAATGCCAAGTATTCTTCTTAGGCATCGCCTGGGAAAGCTATTTAGCCGTCTCTCCTGGTGCAAATAGGCTGACCAAGTTTCACTTCTATAAAGCAGAGTGCTGAGAAGTAGGGCTGTACCAAATATTTGCGCTTCGTGACCGAATAGTGGACCTAATAACTATTCGGTATTCGGTCGAATACGAATATTGGTTCCTTACACCCGTTTCTGCATACATTGCCATGGACTGAAATAACTCTCTCATTAACACAATAGTTGCTGTTGCCTAAGTCTGTCCTAGCGGGGGAAACTGCGATCCGTTTGCATGGAACAGCAGCTGGCATGGTCTTTGTCTGCTGACTCGACCGAGGCATTACAGCATAGGTTCTCAAACTGGGTGAGTATGCCAATGGTGCCGCGGCGAAAATCAAGAAAAGTCGGCTATAAATTGTAACATTATTAAAGAAGGCCTGAAGATACTTAAAAGTTAAAATTTAAATTGTCTTTCCTAGCCACTGTCGAAAAGAGTTGTTTACCTTGTTTCACACTCGAAGTGCATCATACTGCATAAAATGCCAACCGCAGCGTGGTAAAAATTGTCTTTGTAATTATCTCGAGGTGCGACCGATCCTCCATTTGTATTCTAGAAGGAGCAGCGGATAAGTAATGTTGTGATTACAGTTTGGCTGAAATTTTAAAGTTGAAAATGTGGTCTGTAAAATAGTAACTGTTAGCCTCGTCAAGTAATTACTTATATTTAAAGGCAATGCGTTATTTTTGTTTTGTTGCGTGTGTGTGTGCGTGTGTGTGAGAGAGAGAGAGAGAGAGAGAGAGAGAGAAAGAGAGAGAGATCATGCATTTTTTCATTCTTTCAGGGTGTCTTTGCCCAAATCAAATTTCAAGATATTGCTTACGAAAATATGAAGGTGCAATTAAATTACATCAAACGAACGGCAGAGCAAACGATGGTTTTGAAAGAGGCTGGAGCCCGAAGACAACTAATCACAGACATCAGAAGGAGACAGTCATCATTTTTCGGCGATGTTATGAAAGAGGGAAAATGAAACATGTGGTGACCACTGGAAAGATCTATGGAAGGAGGGATAGATAAAGACAACGAGAGAAGATTCTTGACAGTCTTGTTGCATGGCATGGAGTTGTGTCAGCACACGAACTAATACATGCTGTAGTAGATCCCAGATTGGGGCGAGGCATAATCCGCTAACGCTAGTCGGCAAGGCACCTATGATGATGATATTACACTATTCTTATTCGGTCGAATAGTTGGGCCTGCTATTCGTATTCCGCCGAATAGTGAAAATCGCCCTTCTGAGAACACAAGCCTGATAGACAAGGGTTTTTGTTTTAATTGTAAGCTTTCTGTTCTCCCAAACTCTCTTTGTCAGTCTGCTCATTGTTGTTGCTGCCTTAACTATACTGATGTTGATTTCTTGGTCCAGCGATAGTTTACTATTCACTGTGGAACCCAGATAGGTAAAATGGTCTACTGTCTCAAGCTCCTCACCGTCAATGTAGACTCTAGGTTGTCATAAACACCTTGCACCATAACCTTTGTCTTCTTTTTGCTGACTGTTAGTCCAAATTCACAGCACGCATCAGCAAAGGCAGATAGTAAACATTGCAGCTCATCCTCTGAGTGGGTGGTTATTGCGGCATCATCTGCAAACAGCAGCTCTCTGATAAGTACCTTTCTTACCCTGGTTTTGGCCTTCAGCCTGCGTGCATTGCAAAGGCTGCCGTCAGATCGAGAATGAATGAATATACCACCCTCCTAATCTCGAAAGGCATGTGTCAAAAGAAGTGAAAAGCGTATTCCAAAGAAGTTATGTGTAAGTACACACCCCTACTTTACTTAATTTTTTATTACAAACTCCTCGGATGTTACAACATCAAAGTTGAGTGTACCTATATATTATATACATACACACAAGGTTCGACATTTAAGTAATGAGACTAATTCCATAAAATTTAAAAAAATCAACAGCTGAAGATATAACCTGTATCTGATTCAAAGTAAGCCCCATGTGCATTGATACAGCAAGTGGCACGATCTAACAAAATCTGGAACGACCTCTGTAGTTCTTCTGTTGTTATGCCCCTTTAAGTCGACGTTACAGCCCTTTGGGTGCCTTCAATATCATTAAAGAAGAGTCCTTTCAATCGTAACTTTAATTTTTATGAATATAAAATAATCACAGGGAGACAAATCCGGGGAATACGGTGGA